TGAACGATCGAGCAATCCAGTAATGTTACATTTTTCTTCAAATAAAGCATACGCACTACAAAATGAGGTTGATTTCGAGTTGCCGATAATAGAACAGCTGGTTAACACGCAGTTCTAATGGGAAGGTTGCCGAAGAAAAAGAGACTGCCGACAATAGTCACACTCACCTGAGAAGTTTGGAGCGTTGTAAAAACGCTTTCAAAACGTTTTGAAAAATTCTGTCGATTGGAATGGATAGAGAAGCAAGCAGCAGATGAATGTAAACAAACAGACACATCATATATGTGCGTGACGCTGAGAAAATGCTAGTAGAAGTGCAGACGCTGCTTAGATTGACGAGAATACGTAAATTCCCCTACTTAATTTTAAATTATATCAGCATTTGAATGTAGGAGAAAGCAAAAAAAATTATTGCAAAGGGATGAAAATAAAACGATCTACAGACAGGGCATCTAAACTCCTGCTCTTTTTCGGGTGCGATTAAGGGTGGGCTTTGGATGTTGGGGTCCTGGTCCGAGATGCGGGGATCCGTCGGGGTGAGTGTCCGGAGGTTCCAGTTCAGTAAAACCAGTAAAATTTGGGATATTAGCGTCGTTTTGTCGTTTCTAATGCTGGTCCTCATACCGGACTCTTTCTACTTTCGGTGTTGGAGGAGAGGGGGGGGGGGCTGGAGGACAGTCAGCGACACATCTAAATCTCAAGTTTAGATGCTCAACAAATCTCACACTAGCGAATCAATCTTCGAAAAATCTTCTTTCATTTGTCGCATCTACTTGCATCGCGCATCATCTTTTTGCAGGAAATCTTCAGAATCGTCATCAATCTTCTTTCTATCTACTCAGCGTGCGCGCAGCTAGCCACAGCAAAACACAATCTTTTCTGCGTCGTAGATAGAGTCGTCCCCCTCGGTATGTGTACACATAGACCTTTTTGACGTTCAATCGTCTTTCTCTATCTAGCACACAAGGACAAATGGATGATTTCTTTTCCCACTAAATGGTTTCTTTCTTGCTCGCACTCCTTCAATTTAAATGGTGCATTAGTGTGCGCCGATTAAACGTCAAAAAGCTCTATAAGAACTATGTGTCACATAAAAATAATCATCCAGCATTTTACGAGCGCTCATGGCAACCACAATCTGGTTGAGTTTCTGGTAGGGAACATATTATTTGAAGTTTGGCTTGTGTCGTTTGACCTGTAAACGGTCAAATTTGATCGTTTATACGTCAAACGACACAACCCAAACATCAAGTCGAATGTTCCCTACCAGAAACTCAGCCAGATTGTGGTGGCTGAGCACTCGTAAAATGCTGGATTGAATTTTTATTAGTTTTTTATTAGTGTACTAGCACACACAAAGTGACAGACGGAGCCGGCTCGATATAACACACTAAGATTTTTTCGCCGAGATGGTCACCACCGAGCAGCTCGGCAATCTATTTTGCTGGATCTCAGTGAAAAATTTGCCGAGATTCAGTTAACAAACGGGAATTTTGCCGAGATCTCGGCTAACAAACATAAATTTTGCTGAGATCGCTGTAAAAATAAATGCCGAGCCTGCTCGGTGGTGCCAAGCTCGGCAAAAAAAATCTAAGTGTGTACATTTGAAATTTTCGAGTGTACCTCACGGCATATCCTATTCATATGTGCTAGCTTAAAGTAGTTGGTGCTATTGGGGTACAGCCTGTTATCTCTTTTTTCTCTAACGAAAATTGAAAGAGAGAGCTTGTTGTCAAACAGCATGTCATTTTATTGATTTTCACGTCTAGTTGTATTGGTGCGACATGTGAAAGCGTATTAGCACAAACGAAGTGACAGACGACTAACTGGCAAAGAAATCCATTTAAATAATGTGGTTCACTGTAATAGAATTTTCTTGGAAGCTTGTGCCATCATCCACCAGATGGGTTAGTTTTTTTGTTTTGATTTGAACAAAGTTGATTTTGTGTACAATGATTCTTTGACAGTGTGCAAAGAGTGCGTATCATTTTGTCATTTTTTTGTGCATTTCAGTTTTGAGTAGAGTGAAAGAGATAGAACCAAAACATTCTAGTACATTTGGTGAAAATTCTAGTTCAATCTAGTAGTAGCATAGAGGTAACTCTAAGACAAGTAGGTCCCGAAGAAACGTGCTCAACTTTTTGGCTCACCTCTGGTACTATCTTCGGTCCCAAGCTAATCGATTCACCCTTCAAAACATGGGAAAATCCACTAACCCCTCATTTTATCTGTCAAACTTTCATAGCGAATCAAAAAAAAAAACATTGTGTAGTATACTAGAATTTCGACTAGAAAGGGGTACGTTAATCGTTTGCTTGGGACCAATAGGCTAGTCAAGTAGTGAGCCAATTTAAAATCGTTAGTTTCGTATTGATTGTTGCTAATACTAACGGTGGATATTAAAATTTATTAAGTGGAATTGAATGGAAGACAACCCTTTTTTGCTGTTTTATTTAAGCATTCCGCTAACAACCCAATTTCATTACTTCATTGCTTTTCTTGCCATGAAATTTTTCGCCATTGAAATCAAATCAAAACAGGCGCAGCAAAATAGCGTGTTTTGCTTTAAGCGTGTAGTGGTTGTTTGAGACTGAACAATGAAAATGCAGTGAGAAACTGTACTTTTCTGTTTGGTATTTTATATGCCACAAAACCTTCGTTAATGGTATCTTTCAATATGGATTTGTGTGAATTTTGAATGAATTAAAAAGAAACGGTTTCCCATTGAATCACGGGACTGACATCGAATGTTTCCACTATGGGATTTCACAAATTTGACAGTACCCTCTTAAATGGTCTATAAATTTATGGCCCATAACAAACTTGAACGAACGGCGCCGGTGGTGTAGTGGTAAGCGTGATTACCTCACCCCAGTAGGCCTGGGGTCAATCCCAGCCGGCGCCGCCGGGATGTTCTGAGGCATAACATCTCTGATCACGCCTTCCTTCGGATGGGAAGTAAAGCCGTTGGTCCCCGGTTCATAAGTTGATGGGTCGATAGGTAGGGTCCAGGTGTGGCAGCTGCCTTCCTGGCACGTCGGTAGCATTTGTGCTCAGCACGGAAAACAAGATCGACGAAAAAACAAACCAAAGGAAAAAAAAAACAAACTTGAACAATACATACGAACTTTGCGGCTGTATTGCATATTCTACAGCTGTCGCGTACACCGCATGTATTTGTTTTGCGTTGGTTGTAAGTGTGTGGGTGAAAAAAAGCAAGCAACAGAAAAATGCAGGCTTAGCAGCCCCTAGCATTGAATAAAATAGCTAGAAACGACAGCTTTCACATATTACTTAACACAAGATTTCAATACCGCCTGGTGTATTCTTGTTCAACTGTAAGAAAAGCATCATAAAATTGCTTGGCTGCCAATGACAGTTAATGACAGCAGCCGTCTGGCTGCATTTGACGTTCCATTTTTCTCTCTTCGCAACTCTCCCTCATGGGTAAACGTTGTTTGGATTAACAAGTTGACAAATGGACAACATTGAAATGAATCCGATCGACTTCGTTCATTATTGTCAACTTGTCACTCCGAACATAGTTTACCCATTTTTGGGCAGGTTCAGTTTTGACCTATCTGGATGGAATGTACCCAAATTTGGGTAGTTTTGAAATAGCGTGTACAATTATACCGTGCATATACAAGCTGACTATTGCATTAGGTCCTAAGTAACATTGGCAAATTCTCTTCGTCGACTTTTTCTTTGAATCCTCAATAAGGCCATGTACACGAAACGAAAATTAAGTCGATGAAGAGAATCGATCAAAGCAGATAGGACCATTTGAAATGTTCATCGAGAATTATTTAATTCATGTGTTTCACTTATACATTTTTGCCAAAGCATCAGCCTTATACATTCCATAAGACAAACAACATAGGTCCTATTAGAATGCATAAAAGGTATGTGTGACCGCTTGTACATTTCATTTGACACATGATCTTTATTAACTTTTGGCAAGGCGTCTGCTTATTAGTTGACTTATACATTTTATGAATAATCAGCAATGGAAATTTGCCAAAAGGTATAAGGTGATTTCTATCCGTGTATAGACATTGTCAGGTATTTTCAGCACACAGATCGATAATAGAAGCTTTTATCTAGCAGCTAATACAACAAACATATCAAGAAACGGTTCTGTGAACAAGTTATTAACGAAAGAGAATGTCAACGAAGATAATCGATCAATGTTACTTAGGACCTAATGCAATGTTCAGCTTGATATCTATTTTGGCGTTTCACCCTTCCACTCAGGGTGGCCAGACCTACCGATTTTCGGGGTGCCTACTGCCCTAATAAAAATTGTATGGTTAATTTGCTTAACGACGTATTCTGGGTATCATCCAAACCATTTGTGGAATAGTTCAATGATTTGGGTTATCGTTCGTTTATGGTTATTTTTTATTAGGGTGATTCACAGACGAAAGGTTCAAAACTACCGATTTTTCACTTTTCCTACCGAGAATCACAGATTTTTAGATTATAAATAGTAAAATTGATTTCGACACAGTTAAAGCAGAAGTTCTGAAGGACAGTGTATTGTTCTGGAGCACAGAGTCATCCCGGGGGCCGGGTTCTGGCGGGGGGCTCACAAAAGTTTCAAGTATCGGGAAAGCCTTAAGGCTGTGAACCATTTGCCGAGTTAAATTTAACTCGTGGTTAAAAATGACATTTCGAAAGTTATTTCTTATGTTCGAAAATCCCCGTGCTGTCGATCGACCGGTTTTCGAGCCACGGTCGTCAAAATTTAACTTCTTGTCTGTCAGAAATAACCATGCTCGGATAGCAGGGTTAATCGATAACTTTCCATCTGTCAAATTTTAACCAAAAGTTAAAATAATCCACCAAATGGTTCAGAGCCTAAGTCGACCTACCGATAACTACCGATAAAAGTTTTGAGAAGCTACCGTTATGAAAAAAATAATCTGGCCACTCTGTTCTCGCAGCTCACTAAAAACTCACTCACGCTCCTCTCACTCTCACTAGCCATCAGAACAGTGTTCAGTAACCGTCGAGAAAGTTTGCATGTTCGGGGATGGAAAAGTTTGGTGCCGTTCTTTATTCTAATTATTGTTTGAATCGTTAAAGCAGAATATTAATCGGTTTAGTTATTGTAATTCCCATGTAAAACAGTGTTGAAAAAAAAGTTCATTTCCTATTTTTGAGTTATGTTCTGTTGAGAACATCTAATGGATGGTAAGTTTCATGTTGTCCACCATGTAGTGCTTTGAGTCACCGTCTAGTGCAGTCTTTATTCATCCACTTGTTGTTTCTAAACAAAAATATTGTAAATAATTGATCAAACTCCGTTAAGTTAGGTTGCCATTTACATATGTAGAAATTGAATCACGACTTTTTTCACTAAGAATTAATTAAACGTAAATATTGGAACTAATACAACCTGCATTAACACCTGCCACACCCTTTCCACACAAGACATGAACATGAACGCTATTAATTTCTCATTACGGTTTTATCAATATTCTGTTTGCAGTTCAACGGATGATGCTACCTGTTCACTTTTTATTATTAATCATCTCATTTTTTGGAATCATTGTCTGCCAAAATGTGAAATACAATCCAAACACCGGCCAGAATTTCGGTCAAAATCAACCACTTCAACAGTATCAACCGTACGGTGGAAGCAGCGATGACTCATTCTATGGCAGCGTCAGTCGTTATAAACAAATTGAAAAGTTCGGATCCATCCAGATTCCGGAAGACAGCTATTGTCCAGAGCATTGGTCCGTCTATAGAAGTTCCTGTATTCGCATTTACAATTCTCCGAGAAAAGACTATCTTCATGCACAAAAAATCTGCCAAGCTTATCAGGGTGATCTTATAAGTATTGATAACATCGAAAAGCATTCGTTCGTTCTAAAATTACTGGACATCGATAGCAACAGGAACAATCGGTACTACATATCCACCAGACAAGCTTCGCCCAACAATTGGATCAACGCAGATAAAACCCAACTGGTACCTTTGGAAGATGCATTCATTTTTAATGCCGCGGATGAGGACAGCTATGAAGCTATTTTCAACAAAAAACCATTGGAAAAGTACGATTCTCGTCGAAACTTTATCAGCGGTTACAACGATAACCGTAACAACCTGGTATACTCGTTCAACGGTGCCAGCGAAAAGTGGCAATTCCTTCCGGTTAGCCTGGAAGATTTGAATCTCTTCATATGTGAATCCCAGCAGCTGTACAGTGCGGATAATATCAACTTATTGGCAGATGATCAACGTCGATACGATTATGGTGTTGACATAATCGACATAAACAAAATTCCCAGGGGACCATATTTTATCAAGCAACCACGCGAAACGACCTACGACACCGGCAAAGCGAAGATTACTAAGGATGTGATGCTCAGTTGCCTAGCCGGCGGTTATCCAACGCCAACTTATTCCTGGTTTAAGGAAATTTATACTAACGATAACATTACTGTGGTCAAACTGAATCCATTGAAAAATTCCCGGTATACCACTAGCGGCGGTAACCTTATCATACACGATCCCCAGCAGATACAAGATCAAGGTAAGAGTTTAAACTTGGTTAACAGACAGAACCCCACAATTGCAATGGGCGTGGCGATGCTATAAACAAGCACGCTTCTCGGCATCGGGACTGACGTGCTGTGTCAGCATCGCCATGCACTTTGCACCCTTGAGGTTTTGTCAGTGTTAATAACCGTTGGTTTCCGTTATACTCATAAGTGTCCCACGGTCCATAAGGATTGCATAGAACATGAGACGGTTATCCGTGTAACGGCGTGATCGCGTGATCTCAAATTGCAACCATATTTAACGTAATTGCTTAAAAAAATCAATGAAAATTATGGTGGTTTTGGAAATTACTGTATCTAGGGGAGCAAGGGGCAAGAGTGCCCACCGCTATTGTTGCGCAAGCAACCAGACAAACAGGCAAATTTCCGATTCTGTAACACCGTTTATTTCGCAGGATGTTATAAAATTCCTTGGACAGAATAAATACATATTCGAATTAGGTTACGTTCAATTCTTAGCATAATGTGTTGTATATGGTTCTGTGACACTACCCCGAACGGTACACTACCCCGAACGCCGTTACCCCGAATAGTACACAACCCCGAATGCCCATTACCCCGAATCCATTTCCAAAAGCTGTAAGCTGTATTTTTGTTTATTATAGTCACTCCTGGAATCTTCCTTCGCATATATAAAAAGAAGAGAAAAACTTCTTAATGGGTCAAGGGGTTTTAGGAGACCTTAATGGATCAAAGGGTTTTCCCTTGTTTGAAAATATAAGAAAAGGAAATGATTAATTCTTTGGATATACGATAAAGAAGGGAATATTTCCTTCTTTGCATATTAAAAAAAAATAAAAGATAAATAAAAGAGAACATCATTAATTCGTTAAATATACGATAAAGAAGGGAATATTCCCTTCTTTGAAAATATAACAAAAGGAAATAATTAATTCTTTGGATATACGATAAAGAAGGAAATATTCCCTTCTTTGAATATATAACAATATAAAATGACAAAAAAAAGTGATAAATTACTAATTTCATCATCTTTTCTGGGGAATGGTATATTCTGGGGAATGGTTTTCTGGGGAATGTTATAGAATCGGTGTAACTGGTATTATTAGCAGTAAAAACAAGCAGATTTTTTTCCAGAGGCATTATAATCCTTCACGTAGCGATCTGGGTGTATGAGATTCACATGTTCTGCATTGAAGTTTCCCTCTTTAGTGACACTTCAACAAATGGATTGAAAATATAATAATATTCCTTCATAATCGAATATTCTAAGATGAGAATATTCCCATTTTCCTTCTGAAAGAACTGCTCATATTCAAAAGAAGGAGAAATATCCAATAAAGATTTCTTTTCCCTTAATTTCTTCATGAGCTGTTCTTTCGTATTAAATTGAACCATAGTTCATGAAAAGAAGAAAAAATATCCATTTATTTTCTAAAATTACTTATTATTATTTTTAATCATGTTCTGGTCCAATTAAGTTTGAAAGAATAGCTCATGATCAAAAGAAGGAAAAAATTCCAATTACTGTTTATTAAATTACTTTTTCTCCTTCTACAATTACATTCCAGTGTTTAAAAGTATGAAAACCTCAAAACTCCAAAGAACTGCTCATGTCTAAAAAAAGGAAGAATTTCTCAACGGTGTTCCAAGAAACAAATCAAATAATGATGAATAATAAATGAACTGAAAACAAGCATACTGGTTTTGGATTATTATTTTATATATAAAAATGAAAATGCTTTAAACGGCTCAATACATTAATATAGGGAAAAGAGGGGCATAGTGAGCATCCTGTGCTTTGGGAATGGGTTTCTAGCTACTCGAAGCAAATTAATTGGTAGTTGGGTTAATCTTATATTAAATCTTCCATTTGCATGGTTTGAAATTTAAGGTGGGTTGCAATCTGCTCACTATGCTCAATATATATTAAGAAAATTGCCAAGGTTGAAAAATTCCTAACTTTTTTTTTCGTGGATATGGCATTCGGGGAAATGTAGCACAATCCTTATCCTTTTAATCGCATGCTGTTCTTCCGTTTGTCTTAATTTCGGGGTTATGGTCATTCGGGGTAGTAGGGTATTCGGGGTAATGGCCATTCGGGGTAGTAGGACATTCGGGGTAGTAGCTTTCGGGGTAACGGCGTTCGGGGTAGTGACATTCGGGGTAGTGTCACAGAATCGTTGTATATATAGGAGGAAATAATGATTTGAACGACGTTTACTATTTTAGCGCTTAAGATTTTATACGAATCTGTGTTGCTTTCAAAATGTATGTGTGTACTTACGTTTAGTCTTTGCTTGCAACGAATTTGTCCGTACTTGCGCAAATCATCCGTACTATTCGTGTAATACGTGTAATTACTGTGGGGAACTGTTTTAGAATTAGGTTAAGTTGTGCATGTTTTAACATTCGTGTTTACCTGTACTTTGTGTATGTTTTGTAGGCTAATCGGTATAATAGTTAAACTGGGCACTGACCACAATAATATTAAGCTATATTTAAGTTAATTAGCAACTAATTACTGCTCTAATTTAAAAGAACATGTCTTTTCTAACTCACCTATCCACGTTCACTTTAAGATCACAAGTCTTACTTACGACGACAATGCCACGTCACCGTCGCACCGGTTGACAGTTCGAGAGCCAGGGTCGGAGCTGGCCGTTGTTCGAAGTCAAGGTTGATGAAGTTCGAGAGGTGCGCCACATCCTCCAGGGTTGTGACACTCCCCCCGGTACGCCACTGTTGTTGGAGTGGCTTACCATCGTTGGCACCGATGTCTAAGACAGCAATCCGTGCGCCGTTTGTACGGTTACCCGTCGTACCTGTCCGTCATTGGCTTGGACTACCTTCACGACACGTCCTCGTGGCCAACAGTTCCTCGGAAGGGTATTGTCTACGATCAAGGCTAGATCGCCTTCCTGGATAGGTTTCACGGGTTGAAACCACTTCGTCTTGCGAGTAAGGGTCGGCAGATACTCATTCACCCACTTCTTCCAGAACTCGTCAGCGTACATTTGAGACATCTTCCACGACTGCTTCAGGGTAGCTGGTCGGTCGTCGAAGGCGATCGGGGGCTTACTTCCATTCGAACACCCTAACAAGAAATGGTTAGGATTTAAGGAAGGCTCAGTGTCTTTGTCTAGCGGTATGTCAGTGAGCGGTCTTGAGTTTATAATCATCTCGATCTCCATGAGCATTGATCGGAGGATCTCGTCGGTCGGTAGCCGCGGAGGGTTGAACTCATACAGGATCTTCTTGACTGCCTGCACTAATCGCTCCCAACAGCCTCCGAAATGCGGAGCAGCCGGTGTATTAAACGTCCACTTGGTTTTCGGCCCGACGAAGGTGGTCATTAGTTTCTCCTCGTCGGCATTCTTCGAAGCTTCACGTAGCTCCCGCGAAGCTCCAACGAAATTTGTGCCTCGGTCGCTAATGATCTCTTCTCGCGATAAAGTTTCGTAGAGCAAGAATGCAGGAATCCGTCGTGAGAGAGTGTGCGAGCTCGATGTTAACGCCCCTTGTCGTCAAGCAGGTCAGCAGAACACCCCACCGTTTCTCAACTCGTCTTCCGACTACTACCAACATCGGGCCGAAATAGTCTATTCCGGTGTACGAGAACGGTCGCTGAAACGCCGCTAGGCGTGCGGGAGGAAGGTTTCTCATGGCAGGGGGCTGCGGATTTACTCGACGTACCTAGCAATGTTGGCAATTTTTGCGGACACGGTTGTACTCTGATCGAAGCCGGGGAATGAAGTATTTCAGCCTTACTTCGTTCATCACCGTTTGATGGTTTTGGTGACGGTACTTGTTGTGATAATCGGCGGTCACCAAATCGGTTACGTAATGACGCTTCAGAAGCAGGATCGGATTCTTGACGGTTTCATCTACCCACTCACAAGCTTCGATCCGTCCGCGCATCCGTAGTACACCGTGTGCGTCGATGGTCGGGCTAAGCTTGTATAACAGGCTGGTCTTCGGGATGATGCGTTCCCAGGGCTGTTTGTCCCGACCCACGTGGCTTAGCATTTGAACCTTGTCCGGATAGGCTTGCCGTTGCACTTGACGGTAGATGGTTTGTTCGGCACTATTCAGCTCCTCTTGCGTAAGCGGTCCTAGCTCGACGCCACTTCTGTTCGTCATCAGCCACATTCGATCTCGTAGACACCCATCTCCACTCATCCCCTCCAGTGCTTTCCAGCAGCTCACTGATCCTGATCGCTACGAATTGGCTATAGCGTCGGTGATCGGATCGTATCCAGCATACCACATCGCGTGAATCCGTCCAGAATATTCGGCGTGAAATCTTCATCCGGTGTGAGCCTGCAATGCTGTCTGCCAAACGCGCTCCGACTACAGCAGCTTGTAGTTCTAGACTTGGAATCGAGAGGAATTTCAACGGTGCTACCCGTGTTCTTGATCCGACCATGGCGCATTCTATGACTCCAGCTTCTTCGAATCTAAAGTAAGCAACGGCAGCGATTCCAGTTTCGCTTGCATCGCAGAAGACGTGCAGTTGGACAACGTTTGTGGCTTCAGCAGTCGTGATGTATCGGTAACACCGAGGAACGCTCACCTTACGTACGTCAGGCAACACCGCGATCCAAATTATCCACTTCTCAGCCAGTTTTCCAGTGATTTCATCGTCCCAAGCACACCCAGAGCGACAAATTTCCTGTAGGAGAATTTTCAAATACATCAGGAAATTGGCGATAAGTCCCATCGGATCATATATCGCCATCAGCGTCCGTAACACTTCCCGCTTCGAGGGCATTCTGACTCCGGACAACAGCTCCGCATCATGTTTTGGTGATATCCTGAACGTGAACGTGTCGGTGGCGGTGTCCCACCACATTCCAAGCACCTACTCCGTTGCCATCTCCGTACATAGGCTCATGTTTTTCTCCGTGGTGGTGCCCTCCTTCAAGTACGTCGTGACTTTGCTTGAATTCGATAACCAGTTACGAATCTCGAAGCCTCCTTGAGAATGCACGAAACGCACTTCATTGGCTAG